CACGGGTTCGAGTTCGCTGGAGGCGAAAACGACCGCTAGGCAAACCGGTAACCGACTGGGAGGATGTAGCAGTCCAATGATTTGATTGTGATAACAGCCTCCGCTATATAAGACAACCATTCGGTACACTCCGAGCCATTGCACGAGCTGCTGGCGTGGCAGCTGGACGTGTGCTCGTGCGGGGGCAGGGTGGGGGTGCCGGGTCGCCCTGCCTCCCTCTCCTGCACGTGCTCAGCCGGAGCTGAGCACATGTATGGGAGGGAGGCAGAGGGGAGGGGCCCCGAAGGGGTGCAGGGAGGGGTGCGTAGCGCGCGCTTGAGTAGAAACGCGCAGCAAAGGAGGAGGGAACAACCGATAAGAAAACCGCAGGCTAATCCATGTTACCGTTACGAATTGAAAAGTTGTTTTGGTCATAATAACACTTTCCACTATATAAGAGGACCACCACACTCCGAGCCATTGCACGGGTTTCTCGTGTGGTAGTTGCACGTGAGCGCCTCCAAAGGGCAATGTGGGGAGGGGAGTGGCGAGTACGGAAAGGGATGAGGTGAGGAAGGTGGGAGTGGGTACCGAGTGACCTCTTCTCCTGTTCTCCTCCCTTGCGTGTGCTCAGTCGGATTTGAGCCCATACAGGGGAGGGAGGCAGAGGGATTGGATCGGGCAAACTGGGTACAGCGATGCGGTGTGTAGCGTAGGAGCAGGCAGCAAGAAAAAGAGAAGAGAACTGCTAGCAAAACTGCAAGGTAATCCGTGTCACAGCAACGAACTAAGAAGTTGCTTGAATCGTGATATCGCTCTCTGCTATATATGACAACCACTGTGACAGACTCTAAGCTATTACACGAACTGCTCGCTTAGAATCTGGACGTGAGCAGGGCGGTAGTAAGAGTAGCGGCAGGGGAGTGCCCTATGTTGCGCTAGCTGCTCACATGGTAATGTGAGAGTGGGCGATGGTTAAGCAGGGTGAGTGGGATATGATGTGGTGAGGAGGTACCAGATGAGTGCGACTATCTCGCGATCAGTAGCAGCGACTGCGGCGATAAGGCCTTTACAGACGTGGTAAGAGAAGAAAAGAAATAGACCGCCTTCGGAAATGAACCGAGTAATATTGCATTATCAAATTGTGGTAGCGTTTTGATAGTCATAATTTCGATAGTCATAACACTTCACAAATATAACACAACCATTTAGTTACTCAAAAGCTCCTTTGCACGGGCTATTCGCGTAGCAGTTGGACGTGACTCTTGGGTGGCTGAGCGGGGGATGACTGAGCTTAGTTGGGGATAGGTGAGGTGAATGGGTACCACATTGGCGTGACGTAAGATGAAGAGAGAGTAATCGATCGCAGGTAGGACTGCGAACCCGTTGATGTATCAATTTCTGGATATCAGTTGAAAAAGTTACGCGCAATGCACTGACTCCGAGCAGTTACATTCATTCAAAAACCTAACTTTGCAATGGACGGTTTCAACTCATCAAATTCTTCTCAGCCGACCCAAGAAGATGGAAGGTTGGTTCTCTCACATGAAAATGTTAATCAACATTCTGTGGTTAGAAATCTTTCTGAATATTGAAACTCCTTTTTCTATGGGAGTGATCCCTTCTAAAAGTACACCTAATTTCCAGACTCGATGGGTTTATGAATCAACTTATACTTCTCTTCAGAACAGAGGACTCCCTAGGGCTGCACGTTTGGAAATCTTCAATAAAATGCCAGTGGTAATAACACTCTTGAAGAAAAATGACCGAGCAAAGCCTAATAATTACCAGATTCCCTTGAGACAGGGCACTTTTACCCCAATCGATGTCGAATCACCTAAACACAATGGGTCTGCGTGTTTCCGATCATGGCGAGTTTTCTCCGGAGCGGCCAATGAGGTTTATTTATAAGGCCACGACCAATTTGTCCAGAATTACCATTGAAAAAGGCGACCTATGGTTTGCAATTGCGATTGTCTCAGTACATGTAGGTAGAAGGTGACAAAAACATCGACGTGAGTGGCACGTTTTTGGGTATCTCCAGGAACCTCTAAATGTCAAAGAATATTGTTTTGCCACCAGTGAAAGATTTCAAATCATAATTGATTCGACCCTATAAAAGGTCTCCCATGCAAACAGGTGAGCTTAGCTCGCGAAATGACCTTGGTAACTTTTCGCGTTGGAGTTTTTGAAGACGCTAACGCTTTTTAAATTCAAAAATCCGTACACAAGCCCGTTCCTTCAAAATCTTCAGGAGAAGACGACAGTCTCAGTCTGAGGCTGAAAAGCGAATCTCTGAGCTACCGAGAGAGGGAGGCTGCCAGAAAGCGAGCCAGAAGAGAAAATGAAAGTGCCGAAGAGAGGCAGAGAAGACTCCAACGGGAGGCTGAGCAGAGAAGGAGAAGGCGTGCACAAGAGTCGCAAGAGGAGAGAGATGTTCGACAGTCAAGGAGACGCAGAAAGAGCTAGAATGCGCAGGGAGCAAGAAAACGCAACTCAAAGAGGTGCCCGCCTGTCTAGGATTGCCGAGAGAGCACGAACCCGGAGAGAGCTCGAAGATAACGAGAGTAGGGAGGTACGTCTGGCAGGACTTGCTGAGGCGGCTCGACTTCGGAGAGAACTGGAAGATGATGAACAGAGGAGGTGCGTCTGACACGACTCGCTGAAGAAGCTCGAATCCGAAGAGGCTGGAGGATGAAGAGCAGAGAGAGGTGCGTCTGGCACGAGTTGCTGAAGACACTCGAATTCGAAGAGAGCTGGAGGATGATGAGCAGAGAGAGGTGCGTCTGGCACGACTTGCTGAAGAAGCTCGAATCCGAAGAGAACTGGAGGATGAAGAGCAGAGAGGGGCCCGTCTGGCACGACTTGCTGAAGGCGCTCGAATTCGAAGAGAGCTGGAGGATGATGAGCGCAGGGAAGTGCGCTTGGCAGAAGTTGCTGAACGAGCTCGGGTTCGAAGAGAGCTGGAGGGTGATGAAGACAGAGAAATGCGCCTGGCAAGTCTAGCTGCAAGAGCTCGAGCCCGAAGGAGCTCAGAGGACGAGGAGCAAAGGGTCAGTAGATTGACGCAAGAAGCGGAAAGATCGAGAATGCGGAGGCAGCTAGAAACTGAAGAAAATCGAGAGGCCCGCAGGGCGGAAGATGCTACCAGAGCCAGGGTACGTAGAGAGGGAGAAGATGAGGAGCTGCGGCAACAACGCAACTTTGCCTCCGCTCAACGGGAGCGCACGCGGAGGATTCTAGAGACATCAGCAGAAACTGAGGGAAGACGACGTGTTGAGGCTGGACGTTATCATGCCCGCAGAACAGCTATTTCACTGCGAACACGGAGGATGGCTAGGAGTAATGTAGATCCGGAAGAGCATTATAGTGGGACGGATGGATGTGTCATGTGGAAGTTGCGGAGCAAAGCACTTTAGAGCGGAATCGAAAGGCAGGGCGACTTTTAACGACTGCTGTAATCACGGTAGCATCAGTCTGCGGCATTTTAGAAACTATCCTGCAGAGCTACGCGAACTGCTAACAAGTCAGGAAGCTGAAGCAAAGCAGTTCCGTGAGCATATTCGTAGTTACAATAGCGCGTTTGCATTTGCCTCTATGGGTGCACAGCTGGACACACCACGTGGACATGGCCCGTACTGTTTTCGCATCCATGGGCAGATCTACCACAGAATCGGACCTGCCCGTCCGGAAAATGGTCAACCTCACCGCTATGGCCAGGTGTACATTCTTGACACGTCCATGGCAGCAGAAGAAAGAATGGGAAATCCGGCAAACGCACACTGTGACCCACGGCTTATGCATTCCTTAAGTGAGCTTCTGCAT